TTTTTTTTTTTTTTAATACAGAATTTACAGCTGTGTTAGTTTTGCCTTTGGCAGACAGGACAGCAGCAGACAAACATAAAATGCACAAGGCATAGAATGTACATGCACAACATGCAAAGAGGACTGCAGATGATGTGCGTTGGGCGTACGTCCAACCACGAGGCTGACAGCAAGCCCGAAGTATAATTCTTTAAATGGATATGAGACCTCCGGTGCACCAGTGTGCTGAATAAGAGCGGGGATGAAAGGATGATGACAAACAATTAAAGAAGATGAATGAGTTATAAGTGAAAACAGAGCAGTAGGGGGTGTCCTCTTTATGTGATTGAACGCTCATTGAGTCTTAACTTTCATCCTGGGTGCCGACAGATACAGCGGCTGTAAAGTAAAGCTGCACTGAAATACACATCTGCTCTCTGCTCACTGTCGGCACATGCAGATAGACAAGTACGAAGAGGAAATTCAAACCAACCAGCAGACTGTGCCTCTTTATGCACGGTATGCCAATCTCACTTATGGGTCCATGTGCTGGGTCTTTGTCTGCCCTTCCAGGAGACTTGTAAAGATAACAATAGGCCAATTACTCCCTAATTACAACAGATAACTGGTTCAATAAATTCTTCTGGTCCAATTTCACTTTAATTGTTCCAATTAGATTCAATTAGATCTCTCTGGTATAAATGGACGGCTGGAATAGAAGCTCTGGCACCACAGGGTATATTATGGAGTCCCAGTGTCCCACTTGTACTTTCACTCTATGCATGAATGCCCATAAAACACATGCACATGGATAGGTATGCATAAACTGTACATACAGGCTCTATAATCTGATATAATAACAATATGTGCGTGAGCTAATAGTGGATAAAGGGGCCTGTATGTTTGCTCATTTGCACCTTAATGTAAAGTACATTTTGCTGCTGTGTGTTGTGTTAACAGAATGATGGTGTGAAGGCAACTGAGAGACCCCAGAGATCTGCATAATGAAAATCTGGCGTGAGTGTAAATGCTAGACTGTTCAGAAGCAGTTAGGCTTGGATCAACCTGATATTGTCACCCTAAATTGGGGAAGCAAACTAATACTTGTCTCAAATTACAGCAAGTTGAGTAGACCGCATGGAAGAACTGAAACTTGTCCCAAATACAGGCTTTAGGGAAAAACAAGGTCTAGTAGAGTCCCAGTTGTCATCCAAAATGCATGTCAACCAAGCCAGAATATTTCATTGGTGTATGGAAACGGGGACATGGTCTTTTCCACAGTTACAGGTAAATTAACGCTAAACTCAGTGTCAGAAAATGTGTTGTTGAAAACATATGTGCAAAAAAAACTGCAGTTCCTCGACTGTCCACTTGAGGCTGGCTGCAAAAGTAGAGGATTCCCCATAAGGTCTTGTGATTTTTGACGGCATGAATATACTTCAGGAATGTAACTCATTATTGTGATTGTTCTGCACATCGTTTATCTTTTTGGTGAGTGTTTTCATTTATAGATGTCCATATGCCACCTGAGATGACACACCTGCGCCTTTATCAGATATTAAGTTCATTTTTTTAGGACTTCTTTTGTGCTAAATTTCTTTGTTGAACTAAATCTTTCAGTCTCTCAAAGATAACTCAATATCTAACTTATTCTTATTTGTTAAAGTGCCCTTATTTGTTAAAATAAGGGTACAAAATTGGGGACATGCCATATGCACCATTTGACAAAAGGCTTTACACACAGTAGTGGTCACATGATGTAAAAGGTAGCCTCCATGCTCCAGTTTCCAAAAATAAATTGCGTGCCGAACCTGAAGCCTGAGATCAGAGCCTACTTAAACATGCAGAGACGCTGCTGAAATGCTTCACTTCAGCACGCAGGGTTAAACACGTTAACATGGAGGCAGCACGGCAGAAGTTGATCTTTGTTCATTCAGACTTTTAGTTTGTCAACCAGGAATTCTCTTTTTACAAAGTTGTAGCTCAACAACAACAAAAAATACTGTCATGATGGAGAATCAAAAGTAGGTGAGTGTTACAGTTGTTCCTTTCTGCTTTATTTATTACAGCAGTTCTTTATTATTCATATTGTTGTGTTTTAGCCTGCATACTGTTTTGCTTTGTTTACAAAAATGAGCTATGATCAAGTAAAAAGATTTATTCCCCAGGTGTTTATAAATCCCATAAACTATCTGTAATCCCTCCAAACAAAAAATTAAGTATTCTTAATCTCTTCAATCCTCTCGATGCACCAAAAGGTCTGAATAACCGTATCCTTTGTGTTCAAATTCAGTCTGAATCCCATGAACTTTATCTACATTCAGCCACCCAAAACACGGATATTGATACCAGTTATTATAAGTAGTTCATCAGATTGATAACTGATATTTGGAACTGATATGCATTTACAGAACTTGAACCTGAAACCATTAAAAATAATAATATAGAAATAATCAAAGTTTCTGATGGCCTCATTCGCTTTTGCTGCATGACCTGCTTCAAACTCGTAACTGCGATCAGTCTCAGTTTTTAAGTATTGAACAAGTTGTTAATTTAAAAACCTGAAAAGGTCATTCAGCTACTTACAATTATATTTTTACCATTACACTTATTTCTCAGTGGAAAAGAAGAATAGTATTTCAGCTCGAAAATGCCCATCCCTGCACCGAACTGAAGGTTTTTAGGAAGATAAATGTTGCTTTCACAAATGCACTCCTAAAATTTTCTAGAAATATTTGGGGTCTTTGTTCACACATAGCTTTTTCAATCTTGGATGTTTTCATCACTTTACATGTTTTTCTTCCAGGTTGAACTGGTCACATAATTTTCTGTTTCTTGCTTGCTTGCAATAAATTTTCATGAATTTTTCTTAAAAGGTACCTGGTAAGAAAAGTCTGGGCTGAGTGCGACTATGGCTCTGTGTTCACACATGAAGCGCCTTTTGAAAATTTTGTATAAAGTGTAAATTCATCAAGAGTTCAATGTTGTGTCACATTGTTAGGACATATGGTAAATATGCAGGACTTACTTGTTCATTACTTGTTCATTTACTGAAAGGGATATTCCGGCGTAAAATTAAGTTAGGGACAAACACACAGAAACACAGAGTTGGACACCCTGTTGAGAGATGAATGTTGCCGACCGCTTGCTTCTCTAGTTATACCAACTTTAGTAACGACCGCACGATAGCAATACAGAGATCCATGCGCTCAACCAAAAATCCACTCTATAGCCACAAATAATACTCAGAACAGCACCTAACTTCATCAACAGTACATAAAAGATCCCAGCCATAGTACTAGCCACCAAACATCTTTTTAGCTTTTAGCAAAGAGACTAAACACAACCCACCGTCTCTCCTCCAGCAGCCGCTTGTTTGTACGGAAACCTCTGGGTGAGTCCATCGAATGCAGCGGAATGCAGAACATTTATGATTATTTCTTCATGGAAATGCAATCAGACAGAGAAGCCAAGGCAGAATGCGTATGCAGTGCAAAATGATTAATATGATGATTATTACTTCAGGGAAATAATAAAGTTATAATAAAAGTTGGTGTAACTAGAGAAGCAAGCGGTCAGCAACATTCATCTCTCGAACAGGGTGTCTGACTCGGTGTTACAGTGTGTTTGACCCAAACTTAATTTCCTTTAAATTACATGTGTGGGCTCGTATTATGTGTCTATAGTAGATACTGTATGCGTGTCATAATAAATAAACGAGCTCTGTTTTTCATCTGTGACTCAGTGTCTTTACTTCCGTCCCTTGTCTTACTCTCATCTCGGCCTCTTTTATCTGCCTTCCCTCCTTCCTGCAGCCTCAGAGAAAAGTGCTTCTCTGACTTCCTCCTGACACGACAACAGACGGTACCCCGGCTCGCTTTGCCGGCGGTGATAAACGGGATGGCTAATTAAAAGGCTCTCTGATAGCTCTCCTCTGCCTTTTTAATTTCCCCTCCTCAACTACGGCTGCAGATTATACCTCTCTTTATACCTCCGTCTCCTTTTCACTCGCCGCTCGTCTGTTATCCTGACAGCGTTATTGTCTGTCCATCTTTCCCGCTGAGCACACACGCTCAAAGACAGGTTAACACACACATATTCAAATTGTTTTCCCTGTTTCCCGTGGAGTAAACAACATAAAAACAAACACAAACATGACAAACAGCACTATTCAAACAGGCAGACAAAAGGGAGGCAAATGTTTTCAGTTGTCGTTCGAAGAAAATGACTGACAGCGAGGGAAAACCAGGAGACAAGAACAACAGCCGAGATGATTTGTGAATTTCTGTGTGAGTGTGTGTGTATTCACGGTGTTTTTGTGTGTCTGACAGAGAAAGAAGATGTTGTAAAAGAGCAAATCATTAATAATATGCTTTATTTAAAGAGAGAGGTTGTGTATGTTTTGGGTGACATTCACTTTGCATGCTCATCTGATGCTCCGGCATGTCCGGGAGATTAGGACACACACAGAGGTGCGTGAGTGTGTGAAGGAGAAGTGGAGATGAAAGCAGAAAAAGAAGAAAAAAAAGTAAAAACTGGGACAACGTGGAGTGGAATAAAGCGGGAGGCGAGAGGTAAGATTGGGTGAGATAGTGTTCTGGAAAGGAGAGCAAAGTGAAACTGATAATTACGGAAACATAAAAAAGACTTCTTTCCTCCGTGGTGAACTCGGTTTCACCTCCTTTTTTCAGCTCTCCTCCTGCCAAATCTACTCATTCGCTCACCCTGTGTCCTTTCATCTTTCCTCCCCAGCCTCACACTTCAGATCCTCTCCCAGTTTGACTTTTTTTACCCACTTCCACGTTTTCACCCCCTTTGCCTCCTCTCCTCACCTCACACACATTTTTACCCTCTTTTCTTTTCTTCTCTCGATTCCCGCTCACTCGCTCCTTGGGGCGGATCGATAGCAGCTGAGCGAGGAGATGCCTCATGGTTGACTCTTTAGCACATATCAAAGTTGACCCTCTGACCCCGACTCGCTCCTCTCAGCACACGGTTTGAAACGCTGATGACGCTCCACTGTAGTGCTGGGCGATAGGACGATAAATATCGTGGGCACGATAGAAAATGTCTATCGTGCCATTTTTTTTTTTTATCGTTTCGGCGATAGGCTGTATTTTATCCATAGGGCTTGTGCCATCAGATGATTCATAGTAACAACAACAATAATTGCACATTCAATAAGTGTATTTGGTGTCGAACGGGAAAGAAAACAATATTTTCTTACAAAGAAAAGGATGCGTTGACATGTAGGCTCGCATTTCTCTTTCAATTTTGCGACATGATGCCGCTTTACGTGCCCTCTTCGTGTCCAGCGTCTCCCGCCGTTGCAGGTTACCTGAGTTACACACGTGAGGGGATCATTGTAAGCAGTGCTTAATTTATGCCGGAGCAAGTCGGAGCGCGATCCGGGACCTCTTTTGATCGGATCCGGGACCTATTTCAGCCGTTCCGGCACCTGTTTCATCTGCTCCGGGACCTTCCCTGTAGAGGATGACATTTTTCGGGAATTCCCGTGGGTCACGTGATTCCCGCGGGAATCCCACGGGATGGGAATCATTTTTTAATGAATCCCTTGATCGGGACGGGACGGGAAAAAAAGGCAACGGGAGTGGGCAGGAGCGGGAACAACATTAAAAGATGATCATTTTCAGCCGTGTTTAACAACCAGATGAACAGGTGCGTCCATTTTTGTAGTCATCTCTCAGTGAGAGCCAAAACTCTTGACCGCGCTAGCAACACAAAAGAACTACAACAGTGGTTTGACTTCCTGTCAGCTGGGAGCGCGGCTGCGCATTTGTACCCTTCAAGCCAGGGGGAAACGTAATTTTGTGACATTCTGTAGTTTTTCAATCATTTCTGGAGTCGTAGTGAATCAAATCACCTTACCTGTCTGCCCCTGATAGACGAATAAAGCGCTCGGATTCATGCTCGGGTCTTGCTACGTGCTTCAAGAGTAAAGTAAACAATGATGGAGGCAGAGAGCAGCTTTGGAGGAGAAACATCTAGCAGTGTGAACAACCTCTTCAGAAGAGCCCTAAAGACCTACCTTTTTAATAAAGCCTTAGGTTAGCTTTCCTTTATGCTTTTACTACCTTGCCTCTTACATTGCAACTCTATATTCTTTATTTTTTTTTATTCTTTTATGCTTTTTTATGCCAATCTGTGTCTGTCATTCTATTGCTTTTTTATTGTTGCTGCTCTTTTTTTACTGTGTACTGTAGCACTTTGAGATTTTTTGTAAATGTAAAGCGCATTACAAATTAAATTTATTATTATTATTATTATGGAGTGCTTTGGCTCACACTATCGGCGTTTTCTGTGAGTGTTGCATAACTTTGGGTGAGCACAGACATGAACGCACTTCAGCCACGTATTTATTTATTCATTTTTCTAGTTTTAAGTGCTGGTCTTGTACTGGTACTGTACTAGTGCAGCTGTATACACTTAAATTTTTCATAGAACTGAAAGTATACCATAGCTATATCGTGATATATATCGTTATCGTGATATAAAATGATCCATATCGTGATATACATTTTTTTCCATATCGCCCAGCACTACTCCACTGACTTACATTTATGAGATAAATGTCAAACCGAACCTTCAACCTGACTGCTGAGCGCCATCAGAAACATGGCTGACCAAAACCTAAAAAGATGGACTACATTATACACTCCCTAAAGTGAAGCCAAAACAGTTTGGACTGGTTGGCTTTTGTACAGATCCTAAAAACCTGTCTCCTCCATGTAAACAGATGGTTTATGGGTTGAACCGTAGAAACAAAAGATTCTGTTACCAAATGCAAAAGACTTCAACGCCCATTAATGGGGGTATTGTGGCTTCACTTTTGCACCACAGGAGGACATGGAGTCACTCTGTCTGTCTTGGTTTGGCGTCTATATCTGTGTCCCAATTCAGGGTTGCAGCCTTCGAAGGCTACATCTGAAGACTGAAGCAGCGCATCAAAGGCTGCCCCATTTCTAAGGCTCCTCAAAATATGTCTGACAGATGTGTCCTACTTTTCCCAGAACATGAAGGTTGCATCAGGTGCGTTGGATCCTCTGCAGCCCCACTTATCCCATGATTCTTTGCACCAATACAATCAAGATGAGGGTTCTTGGACTGCTGAGTAATACACTGTAAGGTAATCTAGGGTGACCATACGTCCTCTTTTACCCAGACATGTCCTCTTTTAGGGGGGTTGTCCGAGGAGTTTATAAAATCCTTCAAATGTCCGGGGTTTTGTATTGAAGTTTTGAGTTTGTGTCACGTGGACTTACTGAGTTAGGAGCGTGTGAAAAACACTTAATCAGACCTTAAAAACTCTCAAAATTAACTATGCGTGACTCCGTGACTCGCGTAGTCGTGTCCTCTTTTTGGGGATTCAGAATATGATCAACCCTCGATAATCATATTTGGTTTTAATTCAAATGTTTTTTCAAGACAGAACCCCCGAAATTGGAAGTTTGAAAATGTAGGTGATAAAGGCGTTAAAGTTACTAACTGGTTAGCCGTTAGCCACCTGTTGCTATGCTGTGTCAACATCAGGTTAGTAGCGTAAACATGCAATCTTCCAAAGAGTGGACCATCTCAGTTTAGTTCACCCTGACTGGTAACTACATGTCAACACCTCAAGCAGGGGGGAGAAAACTTGTAACAAATGTAATAAATTTCTTAAGTTTGTCAACAGCTCCATAGAGATTACTGGAGGAGGCTGGATTTATGACCTATACTGCAGCCCATCACCAGAGGGTGCTGTTCTTGGGGTGGCTTCACCCAGCGAGGAGGAAGACAGTGTCCATTCTATATACAGTCTATGTCTGTCCAATCATTTAATACATTTGTAAAACATTTGTCTCAATGTTGCAGAGACGGCAAGGCTTAGAGAGGTCATATTTCCAGGAAGTAGTCCAGTCCATGCTGTATTTGAAAACTACAGAAAAGTAATCTCGTTGGATCATGCCCATCTATTACCATTTTGAAGAAATGTTGTTGAGTATAGTGTTAAATAGTCGGTATTAACATTTTTGTTAAAGCCTGTAATAAAAATGTTTTTGCTTGAAATCATCAGAACGTAGATTAAATAGTATAAATAAATAGTAGATCACTTTAAAAATTAATACTTTAAATGGTAGATGACTTGTTGAGAAGTGACAAATGAGACAAGTACAGACAGTTGAATTTCCCTTCGGGGATAAATAAAGTTATTCTTATTCCTTTTCTCATTTGAGGTGAATTAGAGGATTTCTACAAAATCAGGAGAGAGTGCTGCTGTAGCAAAGTTAAACAACTAGGACAAGTTTCTGCATTGCATGCATATTTCAAGACGGACCTCACTGTGATTTCAGCCGGGAATAACTTATTTCAAAACACTCAGACTTTCCATCATTTTTCACATCAACTCTTATCACAATCTACTGAGTCATCACTCTATACATTTTGTTTCTGATAAAAAACAGCAAAGATTTTGACGTGTTAAGAAAAACAAAACTCGAATACATCTGACTGAATCAAAGAGAAAACAACACAACACAGGCAGGTCTACCTCATGTACATCGAGCTGCAGCAGCAGCAGCAGCAGCAGCATTCTGCCAACTCAGCTTTTCCTTGACCAGTAATGACTCAGCATATCTAATGAGCTCCAGGCTGTTTGGTTTCTGTTGCGGCTGAAAAGTACTTAAATCAAATGATGGATAAAGACTTTTTCCGCCTCATGAATATTCCCTTAAAGGACAATAACTCAGGCTGTTTGAATGCGGTGTTAACTCTGAATAATATTATCATCTCAGAGAGGAAGACCCGCGAAAACACTGATAGCTACGGGTTTGAATCTTAAAAACACAAACATCAACAGATTCTTTTAAGTGTTATTAAGAAATACTTGATTAGATATAAGCTTATTGTTATTGAATACGGCGACACAACAGCAGTCTAGAACATCACAAACAACTCCAAATAAACTTCTATAGAGTCATTTTCAAAGCTCGTCTCTAACTTATTGATTAAATGCTGCAGTTGACTTTGTTTAAAGGAGCAAAAGGTCTGCAGGTCAGTGTTCAAAATGAAGCAAAATTTCCTTTAAGTGACCAGAGTTCAGTTCTCTTGAGAAATAGAAAGTCCATGTTGAGTTCTCCTCAGAGCTGACCACCTTTTCAGTCACATAACACGTAATTAAAAGTTGTTCAAAAGGTGGCTGAACATGGTAGAAGTTCTTAAGGATGTTTCACCTCAAATCCAAAGAGCTTCTTCAGTTTTTCAGTCCTTTTATGAAGAAGCCTTTGAGATCAGATCAGAGGTATAAAAAGAAAAGAGAGAAGATAGAAGAAGAGAAGATGATTCAGATCACCAAGAACCATCTGACACAAAATGCATATGTGCTGGTTAGTCAAATGTACTCTTTACTCTGAATCATAGACTGTATATAGAACGGATGCCGTCTGCCTCCTCGCTGAGTGAAGCCACTTGAGAACAGCACCCTCTGGTGACGGGCTGCAGTATAGGTCATAAATCCCACCTCCTCCAGCAATTCCTATGGAGCTGTGGACAAACTTTAGAAATTAATTACACAGAATATGAAGTTTTCTCCGCTCAGCTCCATTTTTAAAAGTTATTAGGTGTTTCATGTTTTCTATGATTGACACTTGATACAGCCTATGGGTGTATGAAGATTGCGTAGCTCACCAGGGAAATACACTGTTTGAGCCGAGCGTCATCACAGCAACTCTCCCGCCGACTGCGTACAACGCTACTGCTCAATGTTGTTTTTTTAGAAAGTGGAGAAAAAAACCAAAAATACAGAGAGCTTTCTGGCTTCAAATTCTTACACTGGCAAAAGGTGAAACCAAGTTGTCCACAGTATATATAGTATACGGTCTGAATATTTGGGTTGGAAATTGTTCAACAACCCTTTCCCCGGGAATCCCACTGGATCCGGAATGGCTCCACTCCACTCCCCACCGGCAGGTAGATCAGATCCGCAAGCAAACAGTGCCCACCGGATCTGATCCACCGCCACCATCGGAGGAGAAGCACTCGGGAGATTACCGATATTTCTCGCGAGACTGGACGAGCTCTCGCGTGTTCCCCGGGAGTCATAGAATGAGATCTGCCGATCCGTGTATATAAATGGCGGTGTATATAAACAACCACATCCGACAACCCTATTTTACTCTGTAACCGAATACAACTTCCGCTGCTGCTTGTGCTGTGCTGCGCTGGATTGATGCACTGGCTATAATAGAAGCCTTGCGTATCTGATCCGGCTGCCGGAGCCGATCCACAGTGGAGCCGGATGCCGGACGGATTCTGTGGAATCACACACATTGATTATAATGCTTGGGTATTTGATCCACCTGCCGTGTCACAGCAGAGCGGAGCTGTTTGGATCCTGTGGGTTTTGCCCGTTTGTTTTTACCTGCCTGACAGACACTGACCCCGCACACTGGTTTCAGGCCTTAAAAATTACAATAAAATGTTTGTAAATCTTCTCATTTGCTTTTAGATATCATGAAAACGTAGTAATGTGAACTTCAGTCTCTCTCTTCAATGAGTAGAAACTCCTCATAGGAGCTTTAACCTTTGTTCTAAATGAGGTATGAATGTCAGAGAGGAAACGATCAAAACAAATGAGTCTGAATTTCTAAACCATCACTGTTTCAAACTCTAGACCGGTTCTCACAAGAACAGCAAACCTCTATGTACAAGCAGAGAAAAGCTTCTGCCTCACAGTTTTATCTCTGGATGCCACACAAACAAACAGAGGGAAGATTAAGGATCTTTGGCAGAGACTCTCACTGTTCAGTTTTTATTTATGATAATGCTTTCACCACCATGCTCCCCGCATCCCCCTCATACCGCATGTGCACCGCTGACTGGGATTTGTCTGTACGCTAAGTCTCCTGTGAGTCATTTCTCTATGCAGCTGCATGTCCAGTGGCTTATATAGAATCTCTTCACATAATGTACACATATTAGCAAGGGAGTATGGGTAGGCATGTAGGAAGAATAAGGTGAGGTGACGGATGGAGGGCATTCACACATATTGAAAACGGGACACACAGGCAGATTTAAACCTCTCTAAAACATCTATTTGCTTCTTCTCTCTTTCATTCAACCTTCCCCACATTTGCGTCATTATCTGTGATTTGCTACATCGGGCTATTTTATCTCTATAAATTAGCGAAAATGACCTAGTGTATGGAACAATGGGGATGCATTCATCATAAGAAATGAAGTCGTGAAGATGAAAAATGCTCTGCGAAGGAGAAGCTGCGCCATTACTTAAATCTAGTGGGCACATGTGCAGATGAAGTGCTCTCCTTCAAGAGGAATTTCTACTGTTTTGTGTCTGATCTGGTATTAAATCCTCCTCTCCCTCTCTCCCTTTGGAGAATCAGTATAAATAAGACAATATTTCTTATTTCAAAAGATTAACAGCTGTACTTTGTGGCGTCTCTAACTTCACTGTGAGAGAAGCATGTGAAGCCATCTAAAAAGCACTTTAATAAATAAGAGGAGTGATGGTTGTTATGGGCAAACAGAGTGGTAAAACTGAGGAATGAGGTGTTATTTTCCAATTACTTCACAATGTTTGTACTGTAATAAACTTAGAAATAAATCCAACACAGTAGACAGGAAGCTTAACACCAGTGCGTTCGATTTTGAATGATGACATGTGGTGAAATAAGAAAATTTGTCCATACAGCTATCTTCATGGATTATCTAAGTCTAAGTCAGACAAACTAAGATAGAAACCAACACTGTATGACACAGCTTGATGTGTCATTTCAGAAGAGCAATGATGTAGTGGTAAAATTAAAGGAATGAAAAAAGTCAAAACTGTTTTTTTCTTCTTAAATAGTTGATGAGATTCTCACAGAAACTCTTGTATGGATTCAATTTGTGTCTTTAAAGCTCCTATAGGGAGTTTTTTGATGTTTATAGAATTTACTGAAATTCACATTGATGCTTTTTTATGAAATCCAAAAGCAAACAAGACTGTCAGCAACAAGATTGAAGATTTTATATTGTAATTTTTAATGCGTGGGGTAGGTGTCAGATTGCAGCTGAATACAGCCCTGATTTTCCCATTTTTACTAAAAAATTTCACACAAATTGTCATTTGTCCATTAAAAGTCAGAAGCATTACAGTTTTTGTCAAAAGTCAGTATTTAAGCATATTGAGGACAGGATAAGCGAAGATTGTTTGATCATAGGGGGCACCAAAATCGACACAAACCAGAAGTTCCTTACAGGAGCTTTAACTTCCCAGTTTAACAAACACTTCTGCCACACTCAGGTTATGCTGACTAGTCGGCATCTTTAGACTTAGATGGATGAACAAACCATGACACAAAGCAATGACATAAACAAGCTAATGCAGTTGGTTGTAAATCTCAGTAACAAAAGTCGTAACCACAGACCTTATCATCTTAAGACTGGTGGTACGTCTCAAATCTGGTAAAGCTCCTGCGAATACTGGTATTGCATCACAGGTTGTGTCAAGACAGACTTATGCAAAGTTTTCCTCTCTAAGTGACTCAGTTTCTGAGTTGGACACTCTTAGATGTTGTTGCTTTCTCCCAGCAAGCAAACTAATGCTGCCTGACCAACTACCAAGCTATCAAAGCTAACAGTTATTAGAGTACTAGTCCAGGATAATCTGACATCTGTTCTCAACCTTCTTTTTAAATATCACCTGTCCAGCCATTTTATCCTTGTAATTCCACGGAAATCTAAGAAAAATGTGACTTATTACGCTCATAACCAAGGTGCTGGCTTCAAACTACTTGTTCGATGATAGAGGGCAAATTTGTCCAGTTTGCAAACCAGCCGACACCCTCATTTTTAAATTAAACTTTCTTTTTAGATTCCATATTGTTCTTCTTTTATGAAAGTAATAATAATAATTCAAATCTTTACAGAGTTTCAAACAAAAATAGAGCTGGAACTGTTCAACTTTTCCTCCTGTTCAGAAACCTTCTGTACTCTTAACAGTGCTGCGCTGTACAGTAGTGCTATAATGTCTGCAGTTTCTCTGTGCAATGAGGGATTATTTCCATTACCTTAGAAGTGCTTGTTCGCCAAGTTAGTTTAAAACCTGCCTCCATGTAACAAATGCTTTCACACCTCACTGAAGTCTACGCAATGAGCCCACAGTCATGATCAGTGGGAACTTTCCTTTAACCCCCACTTTAAGTCACAGTTTGTCCTTCGCCTTAACGTGTTTAAAGGTTTCTTCATTCTCATTATGATTTAAAGGCAGGAAGGACACATACCATTACATACACACAAACACACTACACTAACACACACATTTCCTAACCTTAGGTGAGTTCATCTCCTCCTTTGTTCTAAAATGAAGCTGCAGTTTTCACAACCATCTGTCTACTGACAGCATTTTTAACTCAACCACACTTACACCATCCAAACAGCACCATCTCTGTGAAAGGCACACACATTCACACATATTTTTGTCTCACTCCTTCACACACAGACACTCCAACACAAATATGCATACAACTACTCTCTGCCTCTTTCCTCTCCCGCACATACAAACAAGCACAGCAGCAAGTGCACTTACTGTCTGTGTCTGCCCCGAAAGCAGCCATGAACACACATATCCTACTCGCAGTAATGAGATGTTTGGTCTCTTGAGTCCCTGTATGTGTGTGTGTTTATGTGTTGGCTGGTGGGACACAACGCTAGCCATACGGGCATCAGGGGAAAACTCCAGACTAGTATAAACAGCCTGCAGAGAGACAGAGCGATACGCACATGCACTCAGAGACCCACACATCATCTGTCTCCCTCTGTCCTCGCGTAGCACACAGGGGAGGATGTGGGAAGGAGGTGAGATGCAGCAGGAGGGGGAAGAAGCAGAGGTAAGCTCTGCTATAGCTGTCTCCATATCCATCAGGAAATGTCAGGGTGGTGTTATAGGAGGCAGTCTGGCTGAATACAGCTCGGGGCAGGAATAACTGGTGTATGCAATATTTATGAATTTATGAGAAGAGGAGGACGAAGGTATAGAATAACGATTTGTTCAGAGGTTATTGAGAACAGGTCAAGGTCGCAAAAGAATAGACAAAGGTTGGTATCAAAGGCGAGAAAGCATGGGGAAGGGGATTTTCTTTGACGTCACGTCCTTTGATAAACCTCCAAAACCTTAATTCTAGTGTCATGTTGGCTGCAAACATCTAGAAAATGACACTTCAATCGGTCATTTTTAAAGCAGCAAGTTAGAAAGTGACTGCAGTTTAGTCACAAAGGAGGAATTTCAGTCAAAAGGAACTTCAAGAGCAGGGGACAGGACGACTTTTAAAAGAGAATATGCTCTATAACAAGCAATTTAACAGTGTGAAAACCAGGATCTATTTGAACAGCGAGTAAAAACACACAGCAAACGACGAGATGAAAAACTAAAGTCACCTTTGCAATACCAGTGCTATCTACCCTTGTGCATGTTACAATTTGGTGCAAAGATGTATCAAAATTGACTCGATTTAAGTTAGAGCTCACATTTCCTTACAACTCTCAAATTCTAATCAATTTTGTAGTTATCAATATTTATCTCAAGTAAAGCTGAAAATATTACCAAAGTAAAAGATCTCCGGTCTTGAAACCATTTACTGTTTTATATCACCAAACGTCTAGTAGCATCCTGTCAAGTAGCGTCAGGTATAGTAGCGCTAGGTACAGTAGCGCCACGTCTAGTCGTGCCACGTCATCAAGTAGCCTGACGTCAAGTAGGGTGACACCAAGCAGAGTGACATCAATTAGCACCACATCTAGTAGCACCACGTCTAGTAGCACCACATCTAGTAGCACCACATCTAGCAGCGCCATGTATAGTAGCATCACGTCTAGTAGTGCCACTTCCAATAGCATCACTTCTAGTAGCATCATGTCTAGTAGCGCCATGTATAGTGGCGCCACGTCAAGTAGCATCACGTCTAGTAGTGCCATCTATATTAGCATCACATTTAGTAGCACCAGGCTAAGTACCATCACTTCTGGTAGCGTCACGTCTAGCAGTGTCACATACAGTAACATTACCATCAAGTAGCTTCAACTCTGGTAGCGTTACATCTATTAGCATCACGACTAGTAGCATCATGACTAGTAGCGGCACATCTGGTAACATCAGGCTAAGTACTGTCACTTCTAGTAGCGTGACATTCATACACTGCTAACTGTATCACAACGAACAATCTGGGGTATAACTGTAAGAGCTTTGATCGAATTTCTATCCTCAATTTAGAAATGACCAACTCTACCACTGAGCCACAGCTGTCCACTTAGAGGAACATTTAGCTTTCTTTAAAGTAGTATTAATAAACTAAATAAAAATCAACAATTATCCATTTCAAAGAAGCACATACCAATAAAACCACCTACATATTAACCACATCACCCATATTTGATATGTTTTTTATAAAATGAGAATTGCTTCACCTCGAGTAAAGGATTTTTTTTCGGTTTTTTTCAGCATCTGAGGAAGTTGATACACACTTACCCAACACATCCATCAGCCCACTTAGCATGAGTGGTTCTCACTTTATCATGGGCAGAAAATCTAGTCTGATGGAGATGTCACTCAAGCTTAGTTAATCCACACCCACGGTCCTGAGAAGAGGTGTTATTAATAAGAGAGCGGTGAGTAATAAAAAAAAAAGAAGCTAGCCAAGGTAGACTGTGGGTGCGTATGTCTGAAGAGTCAACTTTTATACAGACTTAACACCAGCCATGTTTACCTTGAATACCAACAGAAGTGCAGACTCAACAATTAAACACACTCAAACTATCTGGCTGTGGTTATTGTTTGATCTTATTGGCCATGACCCCTGAACAGCACATCTATTACTCTGTTAGTGATTCCCATCTTCCTGTTGACTATGTGGCAAAAACATTACTTTCCGATGATGGCACTGGTAAACAACATGAAGTCAAGCTTTTTAATATGACTCTCAGGCTATTCTTTAAGAGCATAAAGCTTTTGGTCAGTGGTTAATACATACAGACAAGAAGCTTCAAACATTACAGAAATTTACAAGCGATGTTAAAACACACAAGGACCTGAGACATCAAACAAACTGAAGAAAACAGATAACCTAAAATAGATGCAGACTTGGGGACTTTTCACACCCAGTTAGGACTGCATTTGATATTACCGCCAGCTGACTATGATCCCTTACATAGCAGAGGGAGAGTATTGATCCAATACTAATCCGACCCATCCAACCACCCACACCAGACCAGTCTTTATCCTTCTTTACTTCGTTCAATAATTTGTCTCGTTTTTATTTTGGACATTTCTATTGCCTGGGTTTTTATTCATTAGCATCATGTTTTCTTCCCCTCTCTGTTTGGTGAGATTTTATTTTCACATCCTTTCTAATAGTATCTCATCTGTGCATCTGCCTGTCTGTCTGTCTCTCCTCCGATTTTTTACGCTCATCCACCTGCCTCTTCTCACTCTCTCCTTCTCTGCCTCTTTCCATCTTTTCCTCTATTTATCGCAGTGGGAGCTAATGTGACCTTTATGTGCTGTCAGCTCGCCGCTCGGCCGTCAATCATCATCTGCTCCCATTAGAACAGCTCTATCAGGAGCTGTCAGCGCCACAGGGCTGCCAACCCACTCCTCTGTCCATGTACGCCGCCCACCAGCCACCACCCACCAAATGTGAGGGAGCAGAGGAGGAAAAAGAGCAAGTGACACCGGGAGAGTGAGACAAAAGGGGTGCAGTTCATCTTTCTCTCATTCACTCAGTCCTTCTGTCCTTTCCTACATCATCTCTCATTAATATGCTTACTCCAAGACGCCTGAGTTTGGGTCCTTAAGGAGATAACAGTCAGCATCTGAACCAACCAGACAGAAAGAGAAAGATGTTATCTTCTCATATTCTCTCCGTCCCTCAACTCCTCCTCTACTCTCTCATTATAACTTTTTAGTCCTGCTGGAGAAGCTTTACTATCTCCTCTCCTCCCGTCCTCTCCTGCTCAGTGTTTACCTGCAGTGGGAGCTCGCTATCTCTCCCTCTTGCCTGTTTCTTCTCCTTCACTATCCCTCCTTTCTCCTCTCGGGGCCTCTGTTCCCTTCACTTCCACCTCTGTTTGTTTATTGTGATGCATCCATCCCTCCTTCTCCTGTCTGGCACTTCTGTTTCTCTTCTGCTCTTCTTTTTTGGCTCTTTTTAGCCTCTCTCTCTCTTTTTTTGGTTACATCCTGATTGATTTTTTTCTCCTCTTTCTTCTCAAACCTTCTTTCTCTACATTTTCTCATCCTTTCTCATCTTATTCTCACTTTTTATCCTTTCTTTTTTTCATAGCAGATTTATCATCATTCTGAAAGACACAATCCCAATCCAGCGCTGTCACACACACACACACACAGCGGCTATGTTATGCAAATCAGAGTCAAAATACTTACAGTTTACCTCACACACATCATCGCACAATTACACTAAAGAACTGGAGTAACAGCTGCTATGCGAGCGCGCGTTTTTGTGTCCGTCTGCCGGTTAATTGTTTCTGCACATAGTGTATTAATGATAAACCAACTACACCTGCCTCGTTTCTCATGAATCCACAAAGAGCCAAAACAAAATTTGATAGATTTTTTTTTTTTGTCCTAAGATTGCCAATTCCTCGACAAACTCTCCAACTTCAGCAAGAACAAAACTTTCTCATCCTAAAAACAATCAATCCCCACGCAGATGTGGTGAAACTTTTTACTCCCTGAAAGCTACAGGACTCCAAAACCTTGAACTTAAATACATAAATATAAATAATATAAATATAATAATATAAATATATTCAAGTTCGTTACGCACCAATAATGAATACAGAAATAAGGCTTGCCCTTAAACTCTCCATTTGGAATCAGATGAATGGAGCACTATTCATCAACGTGGAGGGATCAGATTATAAGCAAATAATAAGCACTATGTACACCATAAAATTAGGTGTGGGCATTCAGTTGTGTTACGGATTTTACACAGAAGATGGCGCACAAAGAAGCAAGCAGCTGTTGAGCTGACAAGGGTCTAGTTGCAGACCTCCACCGTGAGGACCTGAGGTGATGTTTCTTCTCACACGCTCCAGTTTGTTTGAATGGGTCATCCCGTTTTGTATTTTGTCTATGTTGAACACATAAAGACATACAAAAGAGTCCTATTAATATTATATACATAAAATAAAGCCCAGAGAAATAAAAAACATTTAAAAAAAAAATTTAAAAAAAGGCTTTTTGAAAGGCTTTAAATCATCCTTCAAAGTTAAAAAAGGTACTCCTGGTATGTTTGCTTTTACTTTAAAAGGTTTTAAATCAACCTCTGATGAAGAAAAATGTACTCCCAGTATTTTTGCTTTTACTTTGAAAGGTTTCAAATCAACTCCCGATGTAGAAAAATAAAAATACTCCCGGTATTTTTACTTTTATTTTGAAAGGCTAGGAATCCACTTCCGATGGGGAAAAAAAACATTAGTCCCAATATATTTGCTTTTATTTTGAAAGGCTTCAAATCAACTCCTGGCGTAAAAAAAAAACTTCTGATATATTTTCTTTTATTTTGAAAGGCTTTGATTGAACCTCTGACGGAAAAATAATAATAATAATAATAAAATAAAATAAAAAAATTACAGTAATCCCAGTGTATTTGCTTTTATTTTGAAAGGCTTCAAATATTAGTTCTAGTCTGCTGAGTGGAGGTGGATCCTGACAGTGGAGGTCTGCAGCCAGATTGTCCTGGTTGGGCTCCACAAAGTGTGCTGGGATTGAGGTTGTCAAGTCTGGCGGCAACATTATTTAACACTGCTCTCTTTTTATAGGGTCATAATGATGCATAAATCTTATGCTTCTTCTGTTAAATCAAAGATAATTTAATAACTATGGTGGATTCATGTTGTCGAGGTTTAGTAACAACAATGTAGGCTGTACATCAGTGTGTAAATTCTTTTTATTTCACAGCTGTATTTTTAACACAAAAATCTGTGTTTTTCATTGCAGGTCTGGTAGCCTGTTGGCATATTTTTGGTGGTTTTGAATCAAACACGGTTTCTCTCTGTCTCTCATGCATGCACACAAACCAAAGTGCACTCCGCTGCATGTGGTGTCATGCAGAGAAATTAAAACCTGAGTGTGGCTGATGTGTGCCAGCGTGGCAGGGAGCAGCTGTGTAATGTTTCTCTTTGGCACGCGAGGGTGTTTGGCTTTTTCATGAGATGGGCCGGTCATCCCGGAGAGTTAGAGAGGAAGACGGTTACACGCAGAGAGAGACATGTGTTTATGTTGGAGAGGAAATAACCCCACAAACTCATTAGTTTTTATTTGTCCAGTCTGCCATCGCTGATAAAATGAATAAAATTTGTAAAGTAGGGAATGTGACCTGCAGACAGGTGAGGCAGGTAGACAGGCGGGCAGGAAATGAAGGCGTGAGTGACAGGCTGCAGATGGAAATCGAGGAGGGGGAACTATGACCCTATCAATTGGATGTCTCCATCAAAAACCTCCACCGCCTCTCAACTCCACTTTTCCACTTTCCTCTCAAGCTCGACTCCACTTTCATCTGAGAGGAGATTCTTCATATGAAGGGAATGAAGAGCACTTCAAAGACAAGATGAATCAACCATTAACCCTGCTCTATCTCCCTTCTCTGTGTCTTCCTCTCCCTCAGACTGTCAATAGGATCACCCAGCTCTGTGTCCTTGAAGTCAGGCTATACACTACATGCAAACACACATAAACACACACTGAACACGCACAGAAGGCAAGTGATTAAAACCTTCATGTTAAACTCAATAATTCAGGCTCCGGTTTAACTTTAAACGTTAATTATTAATCGTAACAGTGCCCTCATGTAACCTGCTGAAACACCCCCCTCTAGAATATGAATATGTGTTAAGTTGGTTCACTTAAAATATCCACAAAGTGCACCGTTCACACGAAAATAAGTCAGCTGATATAATCCCCCAAGAATAAACCCCCGCTGACTTCAGTGGTCTCCTTAGCTTTTACCAAGTATCTATATATCATCATAGTTCATCTACATGGTGGAGCAGTGCAGCTTCCGAAAGATAGATGGTAGTCCAGACCTGCATGATGTTCCCTTAAAACATGAATATATTTACACCTTTGTAAATATATTCATGTTCCTCTGAGAATGAAACTGCCTGACATAGGTGCTCTAGTGACCTCGTTGTGTTGCATCTACAGGACATCTGAGTCAGCATATTTGGTGTAAAATGTCAGAATCTACATAAGGGTTGGCCAGAGAGTTTTGCACCGTTGTTCAGGGTTTCCTGAAGATGTATCGTATCAACAATGAAGTTAATTTTTTTTTATACTGGCTGAATCTTAAGCTAGTGCATGGTTTCCTCTACATGCGATTGATCGTGGCTAAATAAAAGTCGCCACACCTAAAAACAAATTAGTTTTATCTCACATAGTTCTACTTCGGACTCATATGTAGCAGTGTTTCCCCTACATAAATTACGTGCGCAGCTACTGAAATTTCACATGATCATTAATATCAATGGGCCACTAATGATTTCTACATGCACTGTTTGAGCACAACAACACAGGACGTTATTTTCAACTTTTTTTGAGTCATCAACGAGAGCATCAAATCCTGTCGGACCCTCTTCCATTAAGGTGAAGGGTAATGTTTAGGCTTACACACGGTCTGTATAGCGAGTAGCGCGGGTAACGTAACGTGAATGTAACAGCGTAGCTCCTAAACTTCCATGTATTTAAAGAAAAAATAATTAAAAGAAAAAAAAGTCTGAATCAGAATGCTGGATTGGCATCAATCATCAGATATCCAATCCAATTAATTTGTTAATGTCGGAGCCGCTGTCCGATCCAGATATCGGATCCATGCATCCCTAGTTAAAACCTCAGATTTTTTCCTATTATGAAGAGGAAGAGGTGAAATTATAAACTCTATAAACATACCGGTCTTTATTCCTTGGATTTATTTGATATGACAGTCCACTAGCGATACTCCCTCTTAAATCAACATTATACCAAACAGAACGTTTTCTGTTTAACTAATAAAGATGAAGCCTTAGACAAAGACAAATAACACATTTTAGTTTGCCTTTGGTGGATCTTTAACACTGTCAGTTTTTATTAGATCGTGTTTTTATGAGCAAATAGATTTTTTGGACCACTGACTGATTTGATAGTCATGAACGAAAGTTAGAAAACTCATATCAGAGCATTATGAGTCGTCAGGTGAACTACATTTCCCTCCAGATTTTGTCAGCGATCAATATTGCAAAAGGGTAAGCAGCCTCCTCCACCCGTGACAGACAAACACCAACTGTCAATGAGCCGGGTTAGAGTTCACACTGAAACTAACGGTTAGCTGGATGTGTGTTTGGGCGAGTACGAGTGTGCCGGGAGGAGGTGGAGCTAGACCCAGAGCAAAGTGTTGACATCAGGCAGATGAACAGATGGCGTTTTCAAGAGTGTGTGAGTGTGTGTCGTGTCCTCAGGTGGCTAGGGGGAAGTGATGTGAGGTGAGCTGATGATGATGTGTTGTTCTCATTACGCAGCCCGATGCTCATCTCTCCTAAACCACTTCCCTCTGTCCTCTCTTTAAGCAAACAAATTAGAACCTATAAGAGGAGCGCCGGACTAATTCACTCTCTGCGCGGGTCACTTGATTATTTTTCTCCACTTCATTTAATTAAGTTGTCCTTTCTTTTCTCTTTTACTGTCCTTTGATGATCAGTATCCTCCATGTTTTGTTTCAATTTGATGGTTATCAGCCTGTATTGTCGTCTGACCTTATCTGAGGCCAGCTACTGCATGGAAGAGAATACGGTTGTCACGATTAGAAATTTCTGGAGACGATTATTTGTCAGGCAAATAATTATGATGGACGTTTATATATATTGTCCATTTTTTCCCTTCTGAATTGACATCTCAGATGCTGTTTCAGAGTTGTTGTGTTAGCGCTCTTGATTGGAACTTTTTATGGCAAAGTTTACATATCACTTCCTCCACATTACCAGGCTCTCCTTTATCGTTCCGCTTAAATCTGAAATGCACCCACAGCAGTGCCGTGGTACATGGCTTTGGAACCAGAACCTCCTCATCCTCCATCCTAACCTTGAGTCGCTGCCCGGCCGACCAAGACGAGAGGTAAACAACGCGTGGCTGCACTATGACGTCAGATTCGGATTCAGGGTTATTTGATGCAACTTTGTGGATAAAATCAATAATTGACGGTGACGCCTCAAAAATAAATGCCACAATATCGTTGAACGGGAAAACGTCGCTGATGTGAACGCTTGTATTGACAGGATACGGGTTGGAAAAAAAATGTTGATGTCCGAAATAATCGCACGATAAAAATGGTCCCGGTGTGAAAGGACCTTAAGTGAAGTTAGGTTAATTGGCCGCTTTCAAATTACCTGTAGGTGTGAATGTGAGCGTGGATGGTTGTTTGTCTCTATATGTCAGCCCTGCGATGAACTGGTGACTTGTCCAGGGTGCCCCCTGCCTTCGCCTGAAGATGCTGGGATAGGCTCCAGACCCCCCACGACCCCCAACGTGGATAAGCGGTAAAAAATGGATGAATGGATGAAATATTGTAATAATCGCCACTGCCCTAGAAGAGTATACTGCACCTGGTGGTGAAAACGGGAAATGCAGAATGAATACCTTTGAGCATTACAGAGTATGCTCATTAAGCTAAATATGTAGTTTCATAACACTGAAGAATAAAAGGTCCTAAAACTGATCTAAAACTGTCGATGTTCTGGCTAAAAGCATAGTATAAAAACTTTTATTCTGGAGTTTGAAACTTGAAGTCACTAATCAATCCGCTGCTTCTCACTCGACCCCATCACAACAATGACGGATGCTGACGTCCATCATGAGCCCTCTTGAAAGCGTGGGCTCGGGTGGACTGAACTTTCTGCACAGCCTAAAGTTACTCCAGTGATGGGGTCACTCTTAAAGATTCACAAAGTGACATCAAGCGAACTTCTTTCCCTTATAGTTTCCAAAAGTGCTGATCCAATCCTCTGTATACCTCCCTTTCTATTTGTGTATCCCTCTTTTCTCCACCTACTCTTGTTTCTTCTCTAATTACTTAATTTTCTCTCTCCTGTTTTTCTCTTTTTCCATCAATTGCCTTTTTCTCAACTGTCCTCTTCTGTCATTTTGTCCTCTAACCTCCATTACAAGTTTCTTCTCCCCTGCAGTCGTGTTTCTCACTCCACTTCCAAGAAGCCGCCTGTCAATCAAAGCTAATAAAACACAACCATAGCTTAAGTCTGTCTAATAATCCTCTTTGCATCAGTTGCATAATCAAGATAACAACCCACCTGTTGTCCTTATGTTCATCCTTAATAACAACCTGATTTTCATACCCACATTTTTCATATTTCCTCCATCTTTCCTCCAATCCTCCCTCCTTCCTTGTTTCCCCCTCTTCTCATCATATTACTAATCTCTCCCACCGTTTGTCCCTGTGGGCTCGAGGTCCCCAAGGGAGGGAAGGAGTTGAGCTCAGGTGGGTACATTGCGTCCTTACAGCATCTCTCGCTGAGCTCACACACACACATCCACACACTCTTACACACACACACACACACCTCTCCGCCTGTTCCTGCACAGGCCGAGTCTGAGTTAATGGGATGAGCTCTAATTAATTTTGCTGCATCAGGGGAGGCGAGTGGATAACACCGGGAAAGAGGAAGGCAAAAAAGAGAAATGTTGAGGGTGAAGAAAAGTGAGTCAGAGAGAGGGGAAAGATGGAGAAAAATATGAAGTTTAGAGGAGAAAGAGGCAGATATACAATAATAAATCAAGCAGAAAAAAACAAGCAAATTAAAAGTCCCTCAGAAAGTGAAGAATGAGATTTGGGAGGAATGAAAAGCACATGTAGCATCAGTTTTCCTCCTGTTTTCCAGACCTTGAAATGTGAATTATTTTAGATTTAAACACAAAACAAATGCGAGCAATAACGTAAGATTAATGATGGCATTTTGAAGCAAGGCGCATCTGATGAATGGACACAGAAAGGAGGACGAATCCCTCACAGTTGTGTGATTCATCAATAGAGGCAGATTAAAATGAAAGTTTTCACTTTAAAATACTGACGAACAACATTTAGAGAGGCCACTTTATCGAGTACACGTGTACAGTCCATTCAATACAACTGCTCGATTTAATTAACACCTCGATTACAGTGTCAACAAAATCACCTGCGCTCTGTTCACTCTGTTCTGAACTGCAGACCCTTTCTGCTCTGTAACTGAATTAGCCCAATACAGCCCAGTGTGTGGGTCCGGAGCTGAAAACCCCACACAGTGTGAGGGTGTAGAGGTGAGGACGTCCTCGCAGAGTATCTTCAGCACATCCAAAACTGAGAGTGCAGAAAAAAACCTCTGCAGCAAAGCAGATAGGGAGCAGAACCATCAGATGTGTGTTAGTAAAGTAGAGGTACAAAGTGAGCGCAGGGAACCACGCTACAGTATGATCAAGTGTTGTATAAACAATCCAGATTCAGCAACAGGGGAGGGATTTAACTTTGTTTTTGTTTTGTTTTTTCTTCTCCTTTATTAATTCTTTATTATATTTAAAAGGAAGAACTTATTCATTAAATAGACATTATAATGAAAATACATTCATGAACACTTCTTAAGGACTAAATCAGCAGAAGCAAAATTTATATGCCAAACAAAAATTAAAAAGTTACAATATACCCCCCCCCAAAAAAAATATTATTTATTTTATTAAAAAAAAAATAAATAAAATTTGAAAAATATATAATATAATATATATAATATATATATATATATATATATATATATATATATATATATATACACACAATATACACGCATTTGTTTGATTGTGTGGTGATGATATTTTTGCCTTTATTAGACACTGAATTAGCAACTGTCCCTATGATGACTTTAGCTGGAGCATGAGGTCTGAACTTGAACCTCTGGGTAAACCAGCACAATAAACACATTCCTAATTAATAACCATGATCTCAGTTCTGGCCACAATCATATTCCCCTAAGAGAGGTAAAACCAAACAATCCTCCAATTATAAAATGTTTTCTACTTTATCAGTGCCACTGTTATTTCTCTGTGGTAAAGGGCACTGCTGAATTCATGTTGTGAACTTGTAACCATCCCACAAATGCACCCTCTTAATAGCAGGATAGAAATAATAATTGCTCAGTTCAGGCTCAGTGGTTAAAACACACGCCTCACATACAGGGGCCGGGCAGATTTTGATTTGTTAGATTTTAATTCCATTCTGAGACCCTTAGCTGCATTTGCCATTTCTCCCAATCTCTTCCAAGTTTCCTACTTTCTCTATTTTCCTGTCAAGAATAGCAGCACGCAGCTGTGTCTGATCATATCTTAAGATTTCAGGGTCCAATATTTATTTTATTCCTCATATTCTGCATGTATCTGCATACATAGAAAAGATGATAAGTTGTTCCTCTAGCCTGTAGCTGTGCAACAGAAAAGACAAAAAAATACATATAAAAAAATCTAGAACAAACTCGCTTAAAATCAACGACACTAAAATCACTTAAAAATAGTCAAAAAATAAAATAAACAAGTCACCAAAAATAAAGGAGCAGATAACATTCAGCAGCATAAGCATTCAAGTGCTGATTTGCTATTTATTTTTAAAAATCAACATGTCCACAGGCACAAATGTGGGCGCAAGTTTGTTTAGTATGTACACAACCTGAGAGCTGAGTGAAAAATGCTGACCGTGTTGGTTGGAATATAGCCAAGAAGCCTGTGCTGTGATCCTGAGTGTAAGAAAAGGCCTTTTTTCATTCAATACATCATTCCTTTTCCAATGCTCCCTTTTCTTACTCATATTTTACGCTCTTATATCAACACTCTCTTGCACTATCATGTCTTACAGTATGTCCTATAATTCATAAATTTTCTAATCACAGTTAAGGGACTGGATACTATAAGGCAAGTGCTTTTTAAAGAGTCCACACAGTGCCTTAAAATCCACAATGCCATGTTGTAGGGCTGGGTGACATGACCTCAAATCAATATCACCACATATTAAGCTGTTCACCTCGATAACGATAAATGGATGATAACTACTCCACAAGCTGCTCACCCCCTCCCACATTACCTTTGTCTACTTCAGCCGCTACAACTTTTGAACCGTCCTCCATCTCCTCACCTCTCCACCAACTTTTACTTATTTGTTTTTTTGACACCAAATATATCGATATGGGCAAAATGACGTTGGTTATTGTCGTAAATTTCAGTATCGGTAAATTTTCAGTTTATCGCCCAGACCTTCCATGTTGGATAACTTTCCCAGATGGTTTGATGACATGAGTTTGTGTTTAGTACAGTTTCTTTATTTCCTATATGGTGCATTTGAAAAAGAAAACTGCCCACTGGTTGTGCACCACACCACCCAAACCCCATCCAAACCACCAGCACTGCAAATATTATTGTTACTATCATGTTTCCTAAAAAAAGACCTGTAACCTGTAAAATAAGTACCGACGATTAGATCATTTCAAGTGGAAAAGGTTAATGTGTGTTTGTATCTGAATCTCTCTGTTTGTCAACTATGAAGCCCTCACCTGTCCCTGAAGGCAGCAGGACACATATGTGAGTTCCATCTGCAGCCTCTAATTTGAAAAGTGATGCGCCATTATGCAAAATGATCCATTGTGGTTACCTTGATTAAATCATGCACAGCCGTCAAGCTGCTGCAGAGTATCCAAACACACTTCTCCCTCGTCTATCTGCACAGTTTTTTTGTGTTTTTTTCCCCCTGTGTGAGCCCGACCTCCTGAATCGCAGCGAGGATGCAGTTCACAGAGTTCACAATGAAAAATCGCTCGGCTCCTATCTTCCCTCCATGAGGTGAGTGTGACAGAAATGAGTTGTGACTGTGACAAGCGTCCAAACATTAGAGCTGCTCATGTTAAGAATTTCAGCTGATTACTTTGAACTTCTTCAGAGAGACGGTTACAGAGCGAGAGCGACTTATCATCCCTGAAGACGCGATTTTCAGCATACAAAAAGGAACAATATGTTTCAGCTCTTTCAGAATGACAAATATCTTGATTTAACATCTTTATCTATGGTTACATATACCATACTTTTTATTGTTTTATGACTTGTTGAGGTACTTTGTTAGAAAAACAATTTTAGTCCTGGCAACGCTGTAATGTTTTAGTCAGGCTGTTGCTGCACAAATCATTTATTTTTCGCTGACTTTATTTTAAAGTTTAGAGACTCTTTCTCTGTTTTCTTTTCCAATAAGAAGGAAACTCAGAAGTATTTAAAGCAACAACTGAAACACACAGCACCTCAGATCAGAGGCCTCATGATATTGTAACATGATGTAATCTCTAATTTCTTCACTTTTGATAATTTCCTAGAAAAAAGATCGCATAACATCCAAAATGAGAATTTCTTTTTCACTCTGGAAGTAAAGAGGCTACAGCTTCTCAACACAAACTTTTGGTGTCTGTTGATTTTGGCGCCCTCTGTGGACAAAGCAGTATCTCCCTTTCTTTGCTGTAACGATGTGTTGGCCGCGAACGAAACAGTTCAAATGAACGAACTGGCTCTTTAACGTGAGCGATGGGAGCGTACATATCGTATGTTGTTCTCGCCCCGTTAAGCCACGTAATTATCACCTTCTTTTGCAAATGCCATGTTTGTTTACACTGGTGTGTGTGGGAACTGGGGTGCTACGGTAGCCTGAAGGCTCGAGACATGATAGACAGGAAAATCGATTTGATGATTTTAATTTTTTTAACATTGTCATAATCAAATAATCAACTTAAAATCGATTAATCGTGCAGCCCTAATGTCAGTGTGTTTTGCAATGGTCAAAACCTGTCCGTAATAGTTGACTGGTCAACACAGAGCAGTTACTTGAAATAAGAACTTTCATGGAGAAATACAGATTTTGGAAATTTGACTTTAACTCTAGATTTTTTTTCCATTCATAATTACAAAATCATAGTAGTAGTTTGATTTGGAACAATTATATTTCATATCTGCCAACACTACCATTTGGCATTTGGATTTTTGCTACTATCTGCCAATATTTCAAATGCATTTTGGTTGATACAGATGCCAGATAATGTATATATATGTAACATTTATATTGTGCATAGAATACAGTGCATCTCTATTTTTACAAAAAACAAATAAAACTGAAATAATAGAGTTATTTATATGAGAATATTTGTTATCAAAAATGTGTTAAAACTCCTCAGGTTATAGATAAAAATTATTAAAATGAAATGAATACATTTATCCTGACAGACAGTGCGCACAGGAAGCTAAAACATGAACTTATACAATTTTAAAAGACTGCGTTCTCACACATGAGGTTTCTACAGGATGTGAGAGATGTTTACAGTGCACGGACAAAATACTCATCAGAATAAAGAGTAGCAGCACATCAGAGCAGCTATAAATACTTAAGCAGAGTGTTTACAGAAAACACCCTGAAACTATGGGACAAATTTACTTTAGGCTATAGCTCCATGAATTAAACATCCAGCACTGCGGCCCTGGCTTGCACTTTTATGATTTGTGTTTATTTGCATGTATTTTATTTGAAAATAAGAGGGAAAATATTGACCTCCCAATACAAGGTTATCTTTTAATTGCTCGATGGTCGTGGTTACATAAGATGAAACAGCATGTGAGCGGAGACTAAATTAACTTTTAATTAGAAACATCATATTTTAATTTAAATGTCTTGTTTGCATGCCGCTGCTGTTGTCTGAACACAGAAGTGAGACGTGCAAAGAAAGAGCAGATACAATTTGTGTCACATCGCTCCTGTTCACCCAGACGTCTCTACAGACCCCAATCTGGCACAATAATATCCCACTGTGTTTCCAGCAGGTAAACCTTTATTTCTCTGAGGGAACATGGCTTAATGGATTATTCATTATTATGCTCAAGTGTAATTTTCTCAAACAAAACAAGGCTAAGTGGAACCTGTAACCGTCCTGATTCACAAGCCTGCCTCTGCCCCGCACTTGTTCATGAAACCGTTTATTTGTCTGACGCAATTTAGCAGGATGACTCTGAACTATCATCCCTCGAGTAGCCGAGGCCGCCCCCTGAGAATGAGAATAATCTGTTAAGAAGAAACCCAGTTGACTCTCACCTGGATAACTAGTCATGTTTTAATGGTGAATCACTTAACACTTTTTAGAGTTAAATTTTGAAACCTGGAAGGGAGCGATGACAGTGGCAGGCAGTTCATTATCAATAAGATTCTATCTTACGCACAAGTACCCAAACTCGACAAACAAAGCTGCAGATTAGAGCGGTTAAAAAATACTGGATAAAAGTTGGATGTTTCTCTTAAGCTTTTTTTTGCAGCCTCAAAGCATCAAGGTCATTTTGGGAGATGAGTCACTGCTAGCTTGTTTCAAGTTGCGGAGCTAGGACGTAGTTAAGGATTCCTTTAATATTCACATTTTTATAATAATCTTAATATGGACAGATTTTCTGCAGAGGGACAGCAAGAACCCTATAAGAAGCAGTTCTATGCCAAAAATCTGTGGTTCTCAAACACCCTCTCGCTAAACTGAAACCGTTAGCCCATGTTAGCGATGGATGGTATGACGGTATATACGGTGTGACAGGTGAAAGCCAAAGATGCATGACGCACCTGCTGCACCAAACACTAAAACTGCAGCAGCTCCTCTCATATGAAAGAGCTTGACAGTCTTTCGCCAAAGGTACGCCATATGACAAAAAAATGGCCAGGCTGGTCTGACATTTTGTTTGCATTTGTTTACAAATCCAAGTTTAAAAATAAAAGGAAAATGAACAAATGAGACGTTACGGTTATTTTTAAGACGTTAATTGACTATACGGGAAAAAACACACTGTGATATGAAATTACTCATACCGTGATATAAGATTTTGTTCATACTGCTCAACATTAGCCCACATTGGCTCTGAATGATTGGTCACCACATCCCATGAAATGATTTTTGATTGGATATATGTGGGCGGACATATTGGGATAGTAAAGCTGAGGTGTGATGACCTTTTACTGACTAAAGTACTCTTCTGACTTATAGATGAAACATCAAAGATCATTTTGGCTTCACTTGTGGTTGCTGTTGTTCCGTCCAGTTTTATAAAGTCTACGCTTAAAATATTTAGGGATCTGCAGGTCTGAAATCTACATAAATCCTACTGCATAGTCTGGTTCATTTCCAAAAGCATCAAACTGTTGACACCCACAGTATGTTCTTTGCTTCCTATTGTGAGTCACCGCACACTCTGTGAAGGGCACAAATCCTGAAACTAATTTCATTGAAATATACGAGGGGGATTAACCACAGATCCACCACTTTTTATGTCCACCCCAGGATGATTTCACATTGAATCTAAAATCCATACATCCCTGCTTGCTAAATCCATCATGTCAAACAGGAGTTCAATCTTAGTAGGTCAAGCATAAATTGTGTGTATTGATCACCGGCTCATTTTAAATGACATTGCAGTTATTTATTTTTTAATCCCACAGTCAACAGCTGATGAAGCCGTGACGGAGGAGTAATGTATGAAGATATTAAACTACATGAGTAAACATTCACAGTTTATCAACAAATACAGACATTCATGAAGCGGCTAACACTACTCCTGTACTGGAGGTCTCATTTTTGACAACATCTCATTCCTGCTTTTCTTTTGTAAGTTGTTTTCTAGTTTTAAAAAGTTCAGCACTAACTTTTAAAGACTAGAAAATAAAGTTTCTACAACTATACAGAAAAAAATCAGATAGTTTTCAAACAGATCTAAAATATACTTTACGTGGGAGAAAGCAGTTTAAGGGAGTTTATGGTGATTAAAACTACTTTCCGAATAATTAAAACAATGGCTCCCAGTGGACAGAGATGATCATCAAAACACATGATAGTCTCCAAACTGAAAAATAAATTATCATAACTAACACTCAACTTCTGACACTGAAATAGAATTATTTTTTTGTACTTTGGTAGACAACTTGACTGCCAGACTGTGTCTACAATAACACAAAAGTTGGCAGGCAATGGAGTATTGTTTAATTTTCTCCCCAAGGTACGATTGGCGCGAACACAAACCCTCCTCAGTGCTTCACAAAGTACTGGAATTCAGAACACAAGGCCAAAGTAATGAGTGTGTACGAACCCAAAACAGACATTACACAAGTGGTTTACTTATGTGTTTTAGGAGCTAGCCGCAAAATATAAAAATCTTGCAGGTCGTTCTTGTTGAATTACTCCTGTAATAGTCAGAATGTAAAAAGCTGTCAATTCATTTGATCCTCTTTAAAGACCAAATCATGTTTTTCTTGTTTTTTACATGTTCATATGGCATTTTTCTGATGCTACAGGACATATCATGAGAAAAATAAGTGCAAAATTGCATATCTGAGTATTAAATCACTGTGAATCTTTGGCAGACCTAAACGGCAGGCTCAGACATAGTGAGATTTCCTATGTCACAAATCCAAGCTCCGCCCCCAGATCCCCGCTATGCAGGCCAGACTTGGAGAAGTAAAGAGAACTATTGTGCTTAGCGGATTGTAATGATAATAGAAAGCTAATTATGATAGGAACTTTCATCAGGTCCCAAAGACATCATCCAAGAGCTGAATAGCTTCTATGTTACCTGCTTCTTCTACTACATCAGCAACGTTGGGCTGCAAGCTAGTGCAAAGAAAAGTGTGCAGAGCAACACTGTCTCTGCCCACGACTCAGGGGCGAATTGCTAATGATTTACTGGGGCTCTGCAGAAGAATAGCCCTTGAAAATGACACAGGTAACATGACAAAAAACCAAGTGGAGTGGTACTTTAAGGCAGAACAACATACCGATGATCCTCAGCTATCTATAGATGTGTCAATCCCATACTTGTAAGTAGAACTAATTCTACAATGTTGACATATTTCATGCATGTGTCTATGTAAAGATATTTTTCTGTAATCTCTCCAACTTCAAGCCTAACCAAGGAAGCTCTGTGATAAACAGGAACTCTTTCACCAAACAGAGCACAGGCTGGATTTGTGCCACACCTTTAACATCCCTCACTGTGGCTTTATCAAATATTGATCACACAGGAAACCCCTGCTGAAAGCAAAGGGTGCACAAACACAAAAAAAACACACTTGTTTTTTGTATCTGATTTCAAATGAAATCTTCTACCTTCATAAAAGATTTTCACCTTCCCGTACAAAACACGGTAACTCTTACTGGTAATGAAACAAAGGGAAGGAGGTCCAGTAAAGGTCCCCTGAAGGTGTTCTCGCTCTCTGGCTCTCATTTCTTGGAGGTGATTAGCCATTTCCCTCTGCTCCCATACATCCATACATCATATGGATTGCGTCTGTGGGACAGAGACAGACCGAGTAGCTAAGTATGCACACACTTGCGAGGAGAGAAGGGCACTTGTGCGGGTGTGGATGTGGACTGTGGTACGGCAGGGCACTGACTTCTATCTCCAGGGTCGTTGGCTGGTAATTAGTTTTGCTCTAATGGCTGCCTGGTGAGGTCAGGGGATTCCTGTAATCCCTTCTCTATCTGTTCACCTCCTGCTCGCCTCTTACTACTAATCTCTCTAACCTATCTCCTCCTGTCCGCCTCCCCTTCACTCTAACAACATCACTCCCTCAAGAAATCGCATGCTTTTTCCTGTCTTTCTCTTTGAATCTTC